GCCCAATACGGTCCATTAAAGCAAATACGATCAATTAATGTCCAATACGGTTCATTAAGGCCTAATACAGTCAATTAAAGCAAATATGGTCCATTAAAGGCCCAATACGGTCCATTAAAGCAAATACGGTCCATTAATGTCCAATACGGTTCATTAAGGCCTAATACAGTCACCTTGGAAGTATCAATTTGTTTACCTTAAGCAACATAGAAACAAGAATATATGTTGCCTAAGTATATTGAGTTGAATTTTTAATTTTTACCTTAGGCAACATATAAATAGGAATATATGTTGCCTAAGTAAACTTTGTTGGATTTATGTTTTTTTACCTTATACAACATAGTATAAGAATATATGTTGACTAAGTAAATTTTGACGGATTTCAAAAAAAATATGAGTATCCAACATTGAACTAAGGCAACGTAGGCTAATATGTTGCCTAGGATACAAGTAGGCAACATTGAATTATTTATATGTTGCGTTAGGTGACACTTAGGCAACATAGAACCATATGTTGCATTAGAGGAAACTTAGGCAACATATAATAGCCTTTGTTGTCTTAGTGTATCTTAAGCAACATAGGCAATTTACATTTGTTGTCTAAGACAACATTTGGTGTAGTGATTGAGACGCTTAGAGATTGGGGGTGTCTTATAAACTCAATTTTGTTGTATTATTACTTTATGAACCGAACACGATAAAAGATTTGATCATTCAAATTCCCTCGTATTCCGTAAGAATATGGGAGCCAAAGGCCCTCTGGGAATCGTTGTGCCAATCACACGATACATATTAAAAGTACTTCGTTTGTGGGTTTTAATTTGCTTAGATTCTAGAATTCTATGGGAATAAAAATGGGTATGAAAATGACAGAGAATGAAAATGGAAGGCATTTAGGGCATTTATAGTTGTAACCCTAAATTAGTATAGTTCTCTCTGCACCAAGGGGCATTGAATTCTCCTTCAATCTGTCAAGAACATTGTCATACTATATGTATTATACATGTTCTTCAACTCATGAAGTCTTTGAAACGAAGGGATTACACATCAAATAGTTGAAAATCGACACATGTCGTTTACATCGCCCTTAAAACCGCTGGTACCCTCAACCCTAGTTCATGTTCGAATAACGCATTGAGGGCCAAACTCTGCGGCCTCTTTAACCGTCAATGAATCCCAAGATCTGAAGCAATGCAATAAACAGTTGTATCATGTCGATATAGAGCATGGCTGCGGCCATGATGTATTGATCGTAGCTGCAGCGTTTAATCATGTTATCCGTATCGTATATGATGAATCCACAGTATATAAGTGCTATCACAAATGAGATTATCATCCTCACTAAGCTTCCCATTGGGAAAAAGATCTGTTTCACACAACAACAAAAACAACCAATCAATTGTGTTATATGTGTTTTAAACTGAATTATCATCCTCACTTGGCTGAATTTGTGCATAAGATACCTGAATCATGCTGAAAAGCAACACCAAAATGAGTGTGACGAACAAAAATGGCCCAAGGAAGTTGAAGTCATATCCTCTTTTAGCTGCCCAGAAAGTGAAGAGGGTGAGACTGACCACCAACACGGTGGTCAAAATACTAGCCTCCAGTATCACCTTCCCTGTAAAAATAAGTATTTAAACAAGTTTAGGGCTTATAATTATGATACACTACAACAAAATCGGGTTTATAGGACACTCTCAAATTCTAAGTGCTCTAATAGACCTCTTTATAGAACTTAGTTTATAAGACCAAAAAAATAAAGTGTCATATCTAAAGGTGTTGTAATAAGTTTATATGAGGTTTTTTGACGTCATATAAAGTGTCCCATTATCAACTTTATAAGACACTATTTGAAAAATTGTCCTATAAAAACAAGTGTCCTATAAAGACACTTTCTCAAAAGTGTCCTATAAAGTTGCTAATGCGACATTTTGTATTAAAAATGTTCTAAAAAACTTGTTAAGACGCCCTAAAGCGTCATATAAACTTATTACAATACCTTTAATATATGACATTTTATTTTTTTGGTCTTATAAACTAATTTCTATAAAGAGGTCTATTATGACACTTAGAATTTGGGAGTGTCCTGTAAACCCGATTTTGTTGTAGTGATAGTCAATATTTGAATCAAACCGAAAAAAGTATTCGCATCTCTTCACTTACCGTTGGAAAACACACAAGAAACCCCAACCATAATCGAAAACCCAATCGTAAACAAGCCCAACATGATCATATTTACAGGGTGACGCTCCAGAACACATTGCATCACAAGGCCAACTGTGAATTTCACCAAAACAAATAAACAAAAGAGTTGCAGAAGGGTATTGCATATATTAATGGCTTCTTCCAAAAAGAACACAGAAATAGTTTAGAGCGAAATCCTTACTTATCATCGTAAAAATGGCGATGATGATGTAGACGAGAAAACCCGTTCGAGTATGAAAAAACTGGTTAATTCGTGGAGTCACGACTACTATACTGGCCACGAGAACTGTTAAAAGCAATTGTAATGTCAAGATTGAATACACTTTTCGAATGAACCCCCAACGCAGTTGGGGATCTTCGTTTTGTGACGGATAATGCTTCTGGGCTTCGATATCGAATTCCTGCTTCCCCATGATTATATTTCTTGAAATTAATCGGTATTCTGATCTATAATACGTCTGTATGTACAGTATATACGATGATAAATGTTCCTACTGATGATTATGAAAATATATTTATCGAGCAACCACTGTGATTGATGAATGTATGGAATGTTATGACGCTGGATCAACCACAGGAGGTAGAGATAAATATATATTTTCTCTTTTGAGGAAATCAGACAACCAGGGTTCTTGTTCTTGACGAACTTAATATGTTCTTGATGGGTGTAAATATAGAAAGTTTCTGTTAGAACAGTTAATTTATGGTGCGGAAATCATTCTTGAACCGTCACTGATTGTCACGTAGTGAAGATATCACGAACTATGTCCATGGATAAGTTTCTATATTTAGAAGCCATATTTGTCCATTGATAACTTCCTATAATTATAAACGTAATTGCAGGAAATGTAAAAATAATGATGTTAACTACAAGGGTGGTGTCTGATTTGTTTGATCTTGACTTCAAAAGTTAAAAGTACTAGGAGGTTCCAGGTTCAAATCCAAAGAGGAATAAAAATATCTTTGTGGCCATGGAGGTTCAAATGCGGTGACTTTAGACTATCTGCAAAGCAGGTGGTCGTCCTGGAATTAGTCGGCTCGTATAACGGGTTGGATATAAAAAAAATATGATGATGTTTTTAATTAATTTTAGATGGGTTCAAGATTACTTTATTCAAATGAATTTTATTAAAATGTACCCTTCATGAATTGGTTAATTATGGTAACTTTTTTTTTATAACTTTTTAAAATTTAAATCAATACATATGTAATTTTATATGATATTTTTTTATATATAACTACGATTTAATGTAATGATTAATATATATTTACTTCATAATAAGCTCGTTTTACATGTATTCGATTCACAATATGAACATTTTTTGTGTGCTTTTGAAATAAAAAATACACGTAAATTTTTTTTACATCTTCAACTAAGACAAACACATTGTAAAATAAATATATGTTAATCAGTACATTAAATATTATACTTAAATGGAAAAAATCATGTAAAAAACAAAACCTTGAGGTATAAATTCTCATGGATCTCATAAATTTTAGAGTTTTCAAATAATTAAATCCCGTTAAATATTAATGCTTGAAAAGATGTAAAAAAGTACAAATTTATGTATGACAAATATGATGGCACCAGGTAGTATGTTAGAACGGTTAATTATCGGGTTATTAAGAATGTAGAACAAAATTCACTTCTTACCTCTTATTAATTTTTTCAATCAAATTTCGATATTTATAAAGGCTAGAGGTTTACATGTAATCGTAAGTGATGGTCAATAAAATGTAGGGATGGTTATGCAAATGTACTCGGTGCTTATCTACACACTAGCAGTTGTCGTCGATCTTTCTCATCTCTGTTCTGTTAGCCCCAAGACACTATTGACCCCTCCCCCTCTTTCTTTAATCACTACAAAAATACAGAGTATCAGCAAATCCGTCGCTAAAAAAGTAATCCATCGCTGATACTCCGTTGGTCGAATGCTCGTAGGTAATGCTATCAGCGATGGATATCAGCGACGGATTTGCGAGGGATACTTTCAGCGACGGATCAGCGAGAGAAATTATTACCGATGGATCAGCAAGGGATCTTTCAGCGAGAGATTTGCGAGGGATACTTTCAGCGACGAATCAGCGAGGGAAATTATTACCGACGGATCAGCGAGGGATCTTTCAACGAGAGATTTGCGAGGGATACTTTCAGCGACGAATCAACGAGGGAAATTATTACCGACGGATCAGCGAGGGAACTTTCAGCGACGGATCTGCGAGGGATGACCAATAAAATATATGATTTTTTTTATGTATTCTCACCAATAAAACTGAATTATCATTATTTTATATAAAGTTTTTTAAAAAATTGTATTAGGATGATAAAATTATAGATGAAAATTTTAAAATAGAGAATTTGTTGAAGTTAAATATAATTTTGAATAAATTACAGATTTGGTTTTTATGGTTTGCTATTTTTATGGAAATGGTCCCTAGACATCATTTATTATGGGTTTAGTGCTTGTTGTATGCACTTTATGTTGGGTTTGATCCTTCGGCCTAATGACCACCTACCAGGTCCATTAAAGTTGAGGGCATAAGGGTCTTTTTGCCTTTTTTAATTCTAACATTTTTAGTTAATCTTCTTAAGTCAAGGGCCAGAACGTGTATATTGGAACTTGATGGGCCAAATATAAACTTCATTACATTTAATTTTAATTATGTAATATATATATATATATATATATATATATATATATATATATGGGCTTAATCAAATGAGAACTGTTTTGTTTGTGATAATCGTGAAATCCAATCTCAACCACACATCCTAATAATCAATGATTAAAATTGAAAGGAATCTTAATTAATGTAATTCCAAAAATATATTAGTGATATTTAATGACACAATGTAAAGAAGGGTAAGATGGTCATTTTTTTAAATTTATTGAGCCGGATTTGAGCGTCCTACAAATCCGTTAATATTCTTAATATACACAGAGTCTTCACATACACAGACAGAGATTTGATTCCTAACAAGAAATGGAGAAGCCCAATCGAGCAAGGGAAAGACCAACATTGGTAGTGGTGGTGGTTTTGCCGACACCGCGTTTGCCATATGTGATGACAACGACTCTTGGGGTATCACCGGCGAGCTCCGGCTTGCGATTGTATTGAAGGACGAATCTAATGGTGATGATTTTGGGTAGGGTGTTTGTCGTTGGTCTAGGTAGGGTTTTATACATGGGCTTGAAAGGTAGAAAGTTGGAAGAACATAGAGATGAGGGTTCTGTTAGCCACCATAGAGATGTCATCGTCGACGGAGGAAGAGAGATTAAGCAGCTGCAGAAAGAAGCAGCTCAGCAATGGCGACCGTACTCTTTCATAAATGAGGGGACCCTTGGTTGTGGCATCGGACACTCAAAATCACCATTGGCAGTGATAGTGTGTGAACAATGGTGAATTAATATTATTAATAAAAAAAAATTCTTAACAATGAGCTATTTTATAAAATAGCTTACGTGTATTCAAAAAATAAGGTAACTATAAACTAGTTTATGTTTACGAAACAACTTGTTTAAATTATGAATTTTTAGCTATAATTAATATGAAGGTTTTATTTTCTTTGTTTTAGCCAAACATGATGGAAACATATCATATGAATGGTCATAATCTACATATGACCCTTTTGTCCTTTTTACATCTTTTCATTTATCCCACCATCTATATACAACATGCATCAAATTCATTATTGCTTTATTTATTATTTCATATATTATATATGCTATTTTCTATAACAACAATTTCACTTTCTTCAACTATATAAAGGATGGCTTCTACCCTTTTTCTTTTTCACACGGAAAACAAGAAAAACCTATATCCTTAAGCTTTTCTTTTTTATGTCCCAATGTTCCTATATTATATATATATATATATATATAATCAAATTAATCATGGTTTCTTTTTATAAATATAGCATGATTTTTTTTTATTAACCTGAATATCCAACCCGCTATTCGATCCAACTAATCTCAGGGAGACCCACCTGTTTGGCAGATAGCCCAGAGTCACCGTGAACCTCCGTAGGGGATTTTTACTTCTCTTTGGATTTGAACTTGGAACCTCTTGATACTTTTGACTTTTGAAGTCAAGTTCAAACCAATCATCCTTGTGGTTAGAAGAAACACATGCACCTGTAAGAGACCAAACTATAATGCTTCCAATGATGCTACCCACGTCCAATATCCTATGATTACATACAAACATACACTTCTTTATCCTCCACCCCCACCACTTCCCATTTTCAACTTCATCTCCTTTCTCTCCACCACCAAACTGATCATATATGTCTCCTCCATTAATTCCCACCATCGAAATGTCTGATAACATCATCATCCCATCTTCACCACCACGACCACCATCTCCTTTCAAGGTTCAGTTAGTATCTGGATCTACATCGGAAAGACTTCTTGTAAAATTCGCAGACGTATCTGAATTCGGATTCGATTACTCCCAAAGCGGCCTCTGGTCTCCTCCCGTTCGCAGGACTGTGTTCCTGAGTTCGCCTGGAAAGATCTTGACGCCAGATCAGATGCTGCAGAAGTTGGAATCGATGGCACGGCAACGAAGAAGATACACATACTGTCTCAACGTATGATACATACTTGCAGGTTTTTGATACATTCGTATTCATTGAATTTATAATACGAAAAGCACTACAGATTCCATAGATCGAATCGAATCGAATCGAATCGAATCGAATCAAAAGAGATGAATTGCATTATTTGATGTAATGTGTTTGTGTGTGTTTGCAGGCACTTTTGTGCTCACCTAAAAGATGAAGTCTGTTCGAGTACTCCAATTATTAATATTGTAAATGTTGGATTATATAATTAATTAATTGATTTTATTTTAGAATGTAAATTTGCATTTTGTAATTCACATGTTTGCATGTGGTTGTTTTAACTCATCCCATGTGGAAAATATATATTTCCAGTTTATTAAAAATATTATTTAGTTTATATTAACTTAAAAAAAATTACTTATGGCCTTGTAATTCTGATGTATTTGTTTATTCATCAATGAATATTTCCCACAAAATTCATAAATAAAAATATAAAATATGTTTTGAGTTTCTAACTTTTTATAAAAATCAAATTAAAAATTGGCCGAGGGTCTAAATGTAAATTACTTCGATAATCCCTAGGCAATCAAATAGCTAGGCGGGTTTTTGCCATTGAAATGAGATGGTAGATATATAACTTACCCACTATGAGCTTACCGATAAAATTAAACACTATTATTTATTTATTGGGTAAGATTTTAGTCTACAAAAACGATATAGTATGCAACAATTTAYCCGGTAAGTGTTTACCATAGTAAGAGTCGTCTCCCTCACTTATCGGGTAAGACTTTTGGTCCTTGTTTCGCTCTTACGGGGTAAGATTCTTGGTCCTTGCCATATTCTTCCGGTATGGTAATATGACTTGGTAAGCGTTTACCCAGATAAGCATTTGGTAAACGGTCCCTTAGATTAACAAATATAATTTTAAAAGAATTTAATAAGGTTTTCATGAACTTGAAATTCAGCCGATTTGAGATCAATGAGGTTGGAGCTTGGACCACGTATCATCCCAACATTTTATCCACATAGATATTTGTTCAAAGTTTAAGGAAAAAGATATAGGGGTGTTTGGGATTGTTTGTTTAAAGTGTTTATGACTTATTTCGGTGTAGTACTGGTAATAAACATTTTTTAGTGTTTGGATGGAGAAAAAAGAGATTGCTTATATTGGTGTCTTAGTAAAGAGTTTTTTATAAGTTATTATTTTCTAACTTATCAGATTTGAAAAATAAATTATTTTTTAACCCTAGTAAACCTTCAATCCTACGATGACAATCATATCATCTGGTAAAGCTCCACCCCTTCTCTGGTAAAGCTCCATTCTGTTCTCCAGCCACATCAGCGCCCCTTCTCTCTTTGTCGACACCATCCTCCCTACTTCACCGTCCCACTTACCTTGATCGCTCCCCCATGGTTTCATCTAAATATACACCGGTCCTTCCTCCCTCACAGACACGTCCATCTTCTTCACTGGTGGAATCATAGGGATTATCAAGATCTTGAATCATTGAGACGCTCTTGAAATCACAGGGACAATCGATCTAGATTTAACCATTCTAATTTTGGGTGTTTTGCCCTAAAGTGACCTTCTGTATATAAGCAAAATTTTCCCTAAAACGACCTTTGTTTAAGCAAAATCACAGAGACGGTCACGGTCAAGATCTTTTTTGGTCATTTGACATGTATAAGCAAAATTTGTCAAACACTAAAAAACAATTTATCAACTTACTACGTTTTGATACCGTCATAAATTAATCCAACCACTTTTTATAAAATTCCAGTTTAACATCACATAAATTAATAAACACTTTAAAAAACCATAAGTTGTTTATACACAAAACATTAAAAAACAAAAAAAAAGGCCATGGAAAAATAGATATTTTGTCCTTGGTTGGTGGATGGTGTAGTTATAAAATGTGACCATTTAAAATAATATTTACGATTGTATTCAACTTCAATTTGTCAATTTTTTTAATAATTTTTAGTTTTCTTATAAATCTCTTACCTAATACATTTTTTATATAATAAAAATTATCAAAATGAATTTCTTTTAGAAAATCTAAGATGTCGTAGGGATTTGAATCTGGAATACAATATACGATACAGATTATTTTTCATATAATTAATAATCCTTTCTTGTATAGTTTTATACGTTGGTATAAAATATTTTGATACAAAATCTAAGATGTCGGAGTGTTTTTTGCTTTTTGAAGTGTTGAAATTGGAATTTGAAAACCATGATTGAATATTCACTACAACAAAATCAGGTTTATAGAATACTCTTAATTTGTAAGCGTCCTAATAGACCTTTTTTAAGACTTAGTTTATGTGACCAAAAAAATAAAGCGTCTTATCTAAAGATGTTGTCATAAGTTAATTTATATGACGTTTTTTGACGTCGTGATAAGTTTTTTAGGACACTTTTAATATAAAGTATCTCATTAACAACTTTATAGGACACTATTTGAAAATATGTCCTATAAATAATTGAGTTTATAGGACACTTTCTCAAAAGTGTCCTATAAAGTTGTTAATGCGACACTTTGTATTAAAAATGTTTTAAAAAACTTGTTAAAGCGTCATTTAAATTTATTACAACATCTTTAGATATGACGCGTTATATTTTGGTCCTATAAATTAAGTCCTATAAAACGGTCTATTGAAACGCTTAGAGATTAGGGGTGTTCTATAAACTCAATTTTATTGTAGTGTGTTCATTGTGTGCCTCTAGTAATCGCAAGTTCTAGATCCTACACAGGTTCCTTAAATACTCAAGTATTTGTATTTCTAATTATTATTAAGAATATATATATAACAAATTATAATCTAGTATTTAGATCATGTCTTCAAACCTATGTGTTTTGACTTTGATCTAATGTTTGACCATCTTGGTCATATGTTTTTCTATTTTGACTTTCTCCCATGATTTTCCATAAAAAGCATTATGTATGAAATCCCACTTTTATAAATAAAATACACATAAAAAGAAAGGTGCCAAAATCGTATCTATTAATATAGCATCTTTAGCCCATATGGGTTTGTCTTCAAGATTTGAACTTTTTCATTGGATAAGATCATGTTGGTATGTGTTACATCTCCAATAATATCCCTTTTCAACGTTTGACAAATCGATTAAGTTCAATAATTAATTCTAAAAAATACGTTATTTCAAATATTTTAATCGGAGGCTTATTACTATTTGTTGAAAATAATATATGGTATATAAGATTTTATCTACGATTGAATGTGAGTTAATTTGTTGATTTGTTATTTGTTAAAAAAAATGATTATAAACCATAACGGTGGTGTCCGATTGGTTTGAGTTTGAGCTTCAAAGGTCAAAAGTGTCTTGAGGTCTCACGTTCGAATCCAAGGAGGAATAAAAATCTTCTTGTGGCCACGGATGTTTAAATGCGGTGACTGCGGGCTACCCGCTGAGATTAGTCAGCTTGTATAGCGAGTTTGGATATCCAAGTTAATAAAAAAAAATGATTATATCATACGTTGGATGTTTATTGAAAAGTAATCATATGTAACGTGTATATATTGGACTAGTTAGCTTGAAAATAACGCAAATCCAAAGGAAAAAATGATTCTTTTATCTGATTTTCCATATAAACAAACAAAAACTTAATTGATTGATTACACTTTAATTCGATGTCCGTCTTTCATGAGAAAAGAAAAACGGAAGAAAAAAACAATAAAGTTTATGTTGACCAGATACATAGAGAGAGAAGCTCATTCTTTTGCAAATCATCTGAATGTTATAAACCTTATAAACAAAGGTATTTCGGTCTTTTTATCAAATTCGTATTTTTAGGAATAATTAACTTTCTTAAATATCTCATTAAATATCATATTTAGCATATTTAGTTTAGGAATAATTTCTTCATTAAATCGTATATGAAACTGGCTCTGACCATCTTCTCTTGTATCTAGCTCCCATTTGAGACATATCACCGTTGAAACCCCCCTCCCCTCCGGAAAAAAAAACGTCTCTACCATTGAGACATCACCAAACCTCTTTCTCATCTGATTCCAGAAGACCTAATATGGCTTTTAAAAATACCTAATTAGATGTGAGACATGACCACTGCCACCACCGTCTTTCTTCGTTTTCAGACGCTATGCCATGATCACTACTTAAAAAAAAAGGGTATTACCAACGGATTTTTTTGGTGGAAATTCCGTCGGAAAATTCCCAACGGATCCCAAAAAAGTCAAGAAAAGCCAACTTTTATACACATCCGCACAAATCCTTCACTGAATTTCTGAAAAAAAAAATTAAAATTATTTAAAACGGATTTGTGACGGATTTTTTACTTATTCAAAACCGTCATAAAATTGGTCTAATTTATTTAAATAAATTAATTAGCGTTAATCAATAAAATTTCCGATGGAAATTAATTTTTTTATATTAAAGTTTAAATTCCGTCGGAAATTTTTATTCTTTTGGTATATATATATATATAGAGAGAGAGAGAGAGAGAGAGAGAAAGAGAGAGAGGAGGGGGTAGGGAAAAAATAACAATAAAACATTTTTTTCTTTTAAAATTACCGATGGATTTTCGACGAAATATAATTTTTAATAAAGAAATTAAATTCCGTCGGTAATTTTAAAAGATTTTTTTTTATTTTTTTCCAAGTTTAATATTACCAACGGATTTCTGACGGAATATAATTTTTAATACAAAAAAATTATATTCCGTCGGTAAAATTAAACTTGAAAAAATGTAAAAATAAACCATTTTCCAAGTTTAATATTACCGACGGAACATAATTTTTTTACTAAAAATTATATTCCGTCGGAAATCCGTCGGTAATATTAAACTTGAAAAAAAAATCTTTGGAAATTACCAACGGAATTTAATTTTTTTATTAAAAATTATATTCCGTCGGAAATCCGTCGGTAATATTAAACTTGGAAAAATGATATATTTTTAATTTTTTCCAAGTTTAAGTTATTAAAAACTTTTTTCTTAAACATTACTAACGTAGTGATCATATGTTCAGTTGTATTTAATGGATTTATTGGTTATAAATTCAATTGGGCTTTTATATGTATTATTGGGTTTTATTGGATCTTGGTGAAATTTAATAGATCTTAGTGGATTTTATTTGGTTCAAATAGGCTTTAATGGATCTTAGTGGATTTTATTCGGTTCAAATAGGCTTTAATGGAGCTATTGGGTCTTATTCGGTTCAATTCGGCATTAACGGATACTAATTAGGCTTTATTTGGTTCAATTGGGCTTTAATGAATCCGTTGGGCTTTAATAGATCTACTAAGTCTTATTTCATTCAATTGGTATTTAACGGGTAATATTTGGATTTATTCGGTTCAACTGGGCTTTAATGGATCTTAGTGGACTTTAA